CCCCAAAACCCCAAAACCCCAAAACCCCAAAACCCCAAAACCCCAAAACCCCAAAACCCCGTTCCTCAAGTCCATGTTGCAACAAAGTTCTAATATGTCTTCAGAATTAGAGGAATGGGATATTCAGGTCACTCTTGTCCTTCTCTTGGTTTATCCCACAATGCTGGTGGACTAGAGTGCCATTTGGGTATACGAATGTCTTGTCAATATCCAGCCTACTCTTACACAATGGTCAGATATAATCACTGGTGATTTTTACGTAAGCTCTCTTCTTTTGTGCTACCTTGTAATCTAAGTTGATGTACTCAACCTTGGAAAGACCTTCACCAATCTCATTGTTCTCCTGCATGGTCAGTTTGTAGTCTAAAACAGTTTTAAGGTACTTCATAACATCATAATTATTTCCTCTAGTCAGATCCCAGTTGTCAGGGAAAGCCTGAATTACTCTAATGGCATCAAGAGAGGAGTTGCAGGCATATTTCTGCAGAATGCTCATAACTGAAGCTTCATATCTCTGCTTATGAGCATTTGCCTTTCCATATTCTATGGAGCTAAGTTCTTGGGTTTTAATAATACCCAGTTTCTCGTCCCAGTAAATAAATCTCTTAATGTAGATCTCGAATAATGTAGTGATGAGGTTTAGCTTCTCATCCATAGCTTCACAGAACTCTTCAGCTTCTTTGTCCATGTCTTTATCAAGGTAAGTCTCTAGGGCCTCACTGTGCTTCCCTGCTTTGACAAGAAGCAGGATAATCTCCTCCATCATCCATGAGGTCTTGATTTTGTTGAGTACTATTTGGGCATTATAGTGCTCGGATTCATTCAGAAATGTCCTAAAGTTCTCTCTGCTCAAGGCCAAGGATTCCTCGTCGCTACATTTCTCCTCATAACCTCTTGATGGGTTCTTCAGTTCATAAATCTGTCTTATATACTCAAATGCAAGAGTATTGTGCAAACTCTGAGAAGTATCCTTTCTCTCTGAAATAAAGGATCTGAGGTACTTTAGAACAAGGCTTTCCTCAGAATCACAATCTCTGAGAAAATCTATCACTAATTCAGGAGATAATGAAGTTTTCTCATATTGAAGCATGATTTGGATAACTTGGTCTGGTTTCTCCCTTATGATCCACCTACAATATCTAAAGAGATTATCTCTGGAAAGATTAGTATTTTTAATAATTGAGATTGTCTTGATAATTGCTCTATCATCTCCAATCTCTTGCCAAGTCTTCAATGCATTAGTAATATCTCCAGTCCCTTCAAAATATATAGCAAGAGGTTCTTTCTGTTTCATTCTGGTGAGGTAAAGTTTGACTTCGTCTTCAAAGAATGCGTCTCTCTTTGTAAACGCTTTCTCCAATTCCATATTGAATCCAATATCAGACAGTACAAAGATGATAACTGTTTTCAAAATAGGAAGAATATCACTAATCCTGACTTCTTTGTACTCAGGTTTGATAAGGTTGCTGACCTCTGAATAAGGGCAGCCACTGAACATGATACGTCTATCAACAGTTTCTTTCCCAAGAGCCCAGTACACATTGTTTAGGACGTTTAGTAGGCTCTCCTTTGCTTTGTTCAGAGTGTACTTGGTATCTAAGCTACTGTTAATTTTCTTAATGTAATCTTCAATGTAGTTCTCAGCAGAGTCTTTTGGCTGCTTTGAGATTATATCTGCGAGAGCTCTACAATGCTGGTCATATCCGAAGACAATCATAAGCTCTCTTGGGTCAATTTTTCCATTAATCAGGCTATATGTAGCACTCTCAAACTCAAGTCTGTGGAAAAACTGGATCCATCCTCTGTTGAGCTCGAATTCATTTTTCAATTGATCAAGATTTGGCTTTCCTTTATATCCAATGTAGAAGATTCTTTCTGCTTCAGTATCCTCGCCTTGTTTCAAGAATCTCATAATCTGTTCTTCGATAGCAGCTTCCTTGAAAATCTTGATAATTGTCTTAGATTGTTTCCTGTTGCCTGGATTCGGGTTATATGCAACAATAACTTCATGTTTCTTATACCCAAGAGCAGTATATTGAGCATTAGGGTCATTAATCTCTCCAAACTCTTGCACAGTCAAATTATTCTCAGGATTATAAACCCTAATCTCTCTGTCTGAGCATAAGAAGAGGTTTAGATTATGTGGCTGGATGATAAATTTCTGTCCTGCCATATCATCACAGAACCATGAAATCTTCCCAGTGTTGTCATTATAACTGCATATTTTATTTCCTTTACCAATAAGGACGAACTTGAAGTCATTTACTACACCCACAGAAGGCTCTTTTGTAGGACAATTGACCTTAATATCCGTGGTTACTCCACTTTCGGAATCAACTACAAAATAAGAAGTTTTGGTCCCGATGACCATCTTGTTCTCGATCCACTCAAGTGCATAAGCTTTGTCTCCGAAATGGAATTTTCTAGCTTCTGCAGTCACTGGATCTTTTTCCTCTTCAAACCTGAATTCTCTATTTAGTGCCCAGAAATGAATATATTTATTGGTTGCTATTGACAGTCTGATGTTTACTGGATCTATTGACCTGAGCAAGTCATTAGTCTTCTGTATAGCATACATATAGACATTTGATTTTATCTCCTTGGTCTTAATATTCTGCACAGTGGAAAGATCCTCAAGAGATACCATGTAGAAGTTCTTTTCAATCAGAAGAGTTATCATATATCGTGCAGGAATTATTTGGATTTTAAGAATCTTATCACTCCCTCTCTTTACACTACCTCAAATCTCTTTTAAGTCGAAAGAGGTTCCATAACCTGTATCAGTCTCCTTTACATCAAAACAGTAAAGGTATCCGTCCTCAGTTCCGAGACACACAATATTATCCAATGCTGAAATCGCAGATACTTTCTTATTAATCTCATGATCTACCTGGATTAATCTGTATGGGTAGGAATCTAAAAAGCAGATTAAATATCAATCAGTTTCTCTAAGAATTCTAAAACTCCCTCGCTGACCCTAGATTTCCCCAATCAGGTACTAAATTATTCGTGAAATCTTAATTCTTGGTCCTTATCCAATAAGGCCAGGCTAAGATTTTGCGATTCATGTTCAAAAACACTTCTTGTCACTCTTAAGACTTGTGTAGCCAGACATGTATGGGGAAGGGGAGCAATCAAGACAAGAATATGGGATTTAAGCTGTATAATTCTAGTAGCAATACCATCTTTTTCAGGATAAGTCTCCATTGCTTTCTTTAAAAATATCAATAATTTTTAGATAAATGGGGTTTTGGGGTTTTGGGGTTTTGGGGTTTTGGGGTTTTGGGGTTTTGGGG